TCAATGTGGTTTCAGGAAAAATCGTAGTACCATTGATCATTTGGTACGTTTAGAATCCTTTGTAAAAAAATGCTATCGTTAATAAACAACATGCTGTATCGATATTCTTTGATCTTGAGAAAGCATACGATACCACATGGAAGCATGGCATTTTGAAGGATTTACATGATTTTGGTTTGAGAGGCCGTTTGCCTTTTTTCATATCACAGTTTTTTAAAAGACAGGCAATTTCAAGTCCGAGTGGGTACAACCCTGTCAGACCATTATAATCAGGATCAGGGTGTACCACAAGGAAGTATTTTGTCTGTCACTTTATTTAGCATTAAGATCAACAGCTTATCCAAGGTTTTAAATGATTCAATTGACGGATCACTTTTTGTGGATGATTTTAACATTTCTTGTCGCGGTAAGAATATGCATACTATTGAACGGCAACTACAGTTGTGTTTAAACAAAATAAATAAATGGTGTCTTGAAAACGGCTTTAAATTTTCTAAATCAAAAACTAATTGCATACATTTCTGCCGTAAATATAAACCACATAAAGACCCAGAACTGTTTTTAAATGGCCTTCCCATCAAGGTTGTAAAGGAGGCCAAGTTCTTAGGTCTCATTTTCGACTCCCATTTAACTTTTCTTCCGCATATCAAATCTCTCAAAACTAAATGCCTGAAGGCACTCGATTTATTGAAAGTCGTGTCTAATTCAAGGTGGGAAGGGGATCATGCTACGCTCCTACACCTTTACAGATCATTGGTCCGCTCGAAGCTTGATTATGGCTCCATTGTATATGGTGGAGCCTGCAAAAGCAACCTCAAACTACTGGATTCTGTCCATCACCAAGGACTAAGACTTTGTCTTGGGTCTTTTAGAACCTCTCCTGTTGACAGTCTTTATGTCGAGGCAGACGAACCTTCTCTTAACCAACGCCGTATAAAATTATCATTACAATATATTACAAAATTATATTCAAACGAGTCTAATCCTGCATTTCACTGTGTCTTTAATCCTCTTTATGAGGATTTGTATAACAAAAAATCTTCTCTTGTTCCTCCTCTTGGGCTCAGAATTAAGCCATTTATTGCTGCTGCCGGCATTGAGCTGGAAAATATAGCTCCTTCCCGTCTTCTTGCTTCTCCTCCTTGGCAATTGGTTAGGCCACAAGTCGACCTAACACTCACTAAATTTAAAAAATCAGAAACTAATGACTTACAATATAAACAAGAATATAATCAATTAAAAAGTACATATAATACATATAAATCCTTATTTACAGATGGGTCCAAGGATGGTGGCGCGGTTGCTTGTGCCACTGTCATTGGGTCCAAAATAATATCTTCCAGATTACCCAATGACAGTTCAATTTTCACAGCAGAAGCAAACGCCATATTAACAGCTCTTAAATATATTCAAAGACATCCCAAACATAAACAATATATAATATTTTCTGACTCTCTTTCTTGCCTTCAGGCTATTAAAAATCTCTCTTGCAAACATCCACTTTTAATTGAAATAATCGAATTATATAATGATCTTGCTACTGGCCAATGCGACATCGTCTTTTGTTGGTTACCCAGCCACGTTGGCATTTCTGGGAACACAATGGCCGATCTTGCTGCCAAGGCAGCACTCAACAAATCTGTGACACCACTTCTTATTCCTTACTCTGATTACAAAGCTTGCATTAGAACATACATCCGTGATCTGATGCAGAAGAAGTGGGACACCCAAGTAGGTATTAATAAATTACATGCAATAAAACCCTATATCGGTTATACTTACTTGGGTTGTCAGTCCAGATTTGAAGAGGTCATTATACGACGATGTCGTATTGGCCACACAAGATATACTCATGAATACCTATTGAAAGGTGAGGATCCTCCATTTTGTATCCCTTGTGATGAAAGAATCACGGTCAAGCATGTCCTGCTTGACTGTGTTGAATATTCCATCACAAGGGATAAGTATTTTAATGTCAAAACATTGAAGGATCTTTTTTATAATGTTAATTATCATTTAATAGTTGAATTTTTAAAAGAATTAGATTTGTTAACTGATTTGTAAATAGATAAATATTTTATTATTGGTAGTTTATATTAGTTACTGAGATTGTTAGTGGCTGTACCCTCAAAGGGGGTTGACGTAGCGTAAAATTATTGTCCTCCTGAGGGGGTACGTAAGTCCCAAAACTTTCAAAGTCAATTTAAACTTGCCAGGATTTTTAGACGTAGCATTCTTGTCTTTTTTAATTATAGCTAACATTTCTTACAATCGCCAGCAGCTGAAGGGATGGTGTAAATCCAACTAGGGTCCATGCAGGTAGCCAAGGTACTGTAAGTCCCCATGGTCCCTAGTTTGGTGATCTACCTTCTGTGTGTTGGCGATCTATAGCTTGTTTTTAAATTGTATTGTCCACATAGTGCTATCAGTTTTAACTCTCAATACTAGTTTTAGATGTAATTGTGATATTCTAGTTGTTTTACTGTCCTTCGTCGACAGGTTTTATTATTTCTCTATATATTCTATTTAATGTCAAATGTTCTCGTCACGATATGGCTGAAATATTGCCGATGTGACGTTAAATAATAACTCACTCACTCACTCAGGAATCCAAATCCTCTCCTCGTAAACTTCTAACAATGCTTAGCAAATACTTAGCAATGCTTAGCAATGCTTAGCAAATGCTTAGCAATCCTTAGCAATGCATAGCAAATGCTTAGCAAATGCTTAGCAAATGCTTAGCAATACCCATGGGCACCAAACGGTGGATCGCCACCGACCGCGTCACGACTTGCGCGCACGGACTGATGCTCATAAACCACTGGGTGGGAGTTTCTGAGGCCCACCAGGTGGCTGTACATTGAGTGACGAAATCGTTTATTTTTACTTGGCATATAATGGCGCTCTTAGTTGGCTTGAGGGGAGTTTCTAAGGTGCATGTCTGGGCTGTACATCCAATGATGTCTCTGCTCGAAATCGTTGTACGTAAGTCCCATAACTTTCAAAGTCAATTTAAGTGTACCAGGTTTTTAATCGTAGAATATGTGTGCTTTTAATTTATGGCTAGATTTCTCTTCTGTCGCCAATGGCTGAAGGGATGGTGTAAATCCAACTAGGGTCCATGCAGGTAGCAAAAGTAATGTAAGTCCCCATGGTTCCTAGTATGGTGATCTACCTTCAGTTGTTGGCGATCTATAGCCCATTTTTACATTGTATTGTCTTCTTTTATTGGAATATTTTAGCTTTGTTCGCTAGTTTTACATTGATATCTGTGATATTCTAGTATTTTTACTGCCCTTCGTTGGCAGGTTTTTTTATAATATACATATATTTCATTCTAATATCGAATGTTCTCGTCACGATATGGCTGAAATATTGCCGATGTGACGTTAAATATTAACTCACTCACTCACTCGAAATCGTTGAGGTGCATGGGCTGTACATCGAATGATGTCTCTGCTCGAAATCGTTGAGCAATACAACCCTACATTGGTTACACCTACTTGGGTTGTCAGTCCAGATTTGAGGAGGTCATTATGCGACGATGTCGCATTGGCCATACCAGATATACTCATGAATATTTATTGAAAGGCGAAGATCCTCCGTTTTGTATCCCTTGTGATGAAAGGATCACAGTCAAGCATGTCTTGCTTGACTGCATTGAATATTCCATCACAAGGGATATCTATTTCACATCCAAAACTCTGAAGGATCTTTTTAATAATGTCAGTCCTCATTTAATTATTGCATTTTAAAAAAAATTAGATTTGTTGACTGATTTGTAAATAGTTAAATATTTTATTATTGGTAGTTTATATTAGTAACTGAGATTGTTAGTGGCTGTACCCTCAAAGGGGGTTGACGTAGCGTAAAATTATTGTCCTCCTGAGGGGGTACGTAAGTCCCAAAACTTTCAAAGTCAATTTAAGAGTACCAGGTTTTTAATCGTAGCATTCTTGTAATTTTAATTGTAGCTAACATTCCTTACAATCGCCAGCAGCTGAAGGGATGGTGTAAATCCAACTAGGGTCCATGCAGGTAGCCAAGGTACTGTAAGTCCCCATGGTCCCTAGTTTGGTGATCTACCTTCTGGTGTTGGTGATCTATAGCCCATTTTTACATTGTATTGTCTTCTTTCATTGGAATATTTTAGCTTTGTTTGCTAGTTTTATATTTTCATATTTGTGATTATCTAATATTTTTACTGTCCTTCGTCGGCAGGTTTTTATAATATCTATATATATATTCTATTTCTTACTGTCAAATGTTCTCGTCACGATATGGCTGAAATATTGCCGATGTGACGTTAAATATTAACTCACTCACTCACTCGAAATCGTTGAGGTGCATGGGCTGTACATCGAATGATGTCTCTGCTCGAAATCGTTGAGGTGCATGGGCTGTACATCGAATGATGTCTCTGCTCGAAATCTTTGAGGTGCATGGGCTGTCCATCGAATGATGTCTCTGCTCGAAATCGTTGATTTATACTTGGGGGCTGGGAGCGGAATTGGCATAAAATTACGCTCTTAGTTACCCGGTCACAGAATCCCCATTCTATATACTACTAAGGTCGTAAAGGTCCTTACGAGGTCGTTATGAGGTCGTTTTGAGGTCGTTGTGAGGTCGAGATACCCCCCAGGTCGAGACCGGTCGAGTAGTTTGCGAGGTCGAGTCGGTCGAGCTCCGAGGTCGCCACTGGGACCGCACCATTACAGACATATGTAAGTGGGATTTCCCCATTTTTCCAAAAGGTTTGTCAATACAACTGAGAGTGGAAATAGTTGTAACAACGAGTGCCATACTCAATAACAAAATCTGAAATGTCTCAGACCATATCATGATGCCGACATCATAATGCTCATCATCACCAACAGTTGGTTGCACATTAATGTTCCATCCCAGACTGACATGTTTTGGTGAATAGTGTTTGCCTGATATTGACAAGTGTTGTATTAAACAAAAGTCATCGGTCGAATGCACTGGTCTGAGAAACGTAATACATTTACACACTGTTTATTAAATACAACAAACAACAAGACAGTATACAGAGGTAATGCAAAGTCCAAAACAACAAATTGAATCCTACATAATAATTCTCACAAAAGTGAATTAAACCATGTTCATCTTATGGCAAAACATTTGTATGATTTAAAGAAACACAATCAAAATCATATAAGCAAATAGAAGCTTTTGTGAACAGTGACTCTTTTTGTAATGACATATATTTGGACATCAACAAAATTTTGTTATTTTTGTAGTGCACATTTTCCAATCATAACAAACCGCCTACTCTTGTTTTGCATAACTTTTGAATTTGCACTGCCTCTCCACTTGATCCGCAAGTGGGATATCTTTGAAGTGACGTGAACCGCTACTGCGATATCTTTGAAGTGACGTGAACCGCTAGTGCGATATATTTGAAGTGACGTGAACCGCTAGTGGGATATGTTTGAAGTGACGTGAACCGCCAGTGCAATATCTTTGAAGTGACGTGTATTGATTTGTGAACGTTGTTACTGTTAGAATACACATGTTTCTTACATCACGTTCTTTGTTGTTTGTTGGTGTCAGACCTAGCAAGAATAGGGTGTGATTCCAGGTTAACGGGTTAGGAATCAACATTAGTTAGAAGTATCACAGTACAGCACAGCATAGCACAGAGGCAATGTCACAAATGCCTCTATGTAGCCTAAATGTGAACGTGCACAGTACATTGCTGATGATTACAGGAGACTAATTGTAAAAATTTAAAGATCAGGCAAACAGAAAACCAAAGTTTATACATCTCTGTGCAGAGTTAATGTGAAAGTCATCACTTGAAATCAGCACATCTCATAGCCAATGTGGAAACTCCGCAGTGCGGTAAAGCCTTCAACATTTACACGTCGGACATCAATGAACGGGAGACGCATCTGGTTGGTCATCCACAGAGTTCCGTCGACATAGGTCTGAAAAGAGAAATCAATAAAACCCAATGTCAAACACAAGTGAGATGTGTGCTATATGTTTAATTGTCTTAATGACATCGTGCAACTTTCTTGCCAGCAAAAATGAAAGCGTTTATCTTGGTCATTTTTTCTGGACAAAGTCAGTTATTGTTATCAATCACCATACATATCTTAGATTTCACCTTATAGATGTGTGCGTTGCATACCTCGAAGGTAGACTGACTTATGTTGATTTCAATACGGTAGTTGCTGATGTTGTTCACTGAAAGACCATACAGTCTTTCCTCTGCTCCAAATACTCCACCTTGCCTAGTGTTGAAGATGGCTACATTTGGGGTAGTGCTCCATCTCGAAGACAACACATACACGAAGTCCTCGGTCAGGGTAACCATCCAGACATCGTTGCTGTGACAAACGACATGTACATGTATTTATGAAGATGCACTGGTAAAAGAATATCATAAATGTTATATAGCGATACTGTGAAACTTTATGGGAGTTTATTCATATCTGACATTATTTGTCAAGGATTTGGTTGTCCTCATTATATTAAGGTTACCCTGAATAAACCCTACATCCAATTTGGTTGAGGAGATTTGGTCATCATATTCATGCTATGGGCCCTTCTGCCACCTATTCTCGCTTGTACATGTCATTAAACAAAAATATATATGTGCCGCAAATATATTGCTAAAATAGTCGGTGCAAAACAAATCTGCTACAGTGTAGAAAACAAGTTATTTTACGGTAGAGTTGTGTCTCCTGACACTTCCAGCTTCAGCTTCATCCCTGCAGCAAGGTCAAAGGTCAATTCTTCTGTATGTCCCGCATATGGATACTGTTTGAAAAAAGTACGTTTAAATAACCAAACTGTTTCATTTACAAATATATATTTATACTCAAGTGTATACTCACTGTAATAAAACTGTGAAGATATACCATAACGATATCCCATTTGGTTCTTAGATATATGGTCTTATTTCACTCTTTTGTTAAAACTTTGATTAGTAATCAGTCTTGTCCTGTGTGTCACCATTCCAGATATTAATGTATACATTACATATTATCGTCAACATACCGCGTACTGTTGTGGGAGGCCTGTGTAACATGACACACACTTGACTGGTACCACTTCCCATGATGCACCAATATAACATGAAGATGTGTTGTCGTCGGAGGCAATGATGTTGGAGTTGCAGACATCTTTGGGGACAGTGTTGATGACGTCAACATCTGCGTGCGCATTGTCAAGTCTAAAGTTGACACAGGAAACCGAAAACGAAACAGGAACATTAACGTCACCAACCCAGGCATCAGGGTTTACTGGAATTAGATTTTCTTGTTACGTGTGTGTAGCTGTGCAGCCCCAACTTCAAGTAAATGGAATACAAAATAAAAAAGTCTAATGACAACATAAACGGGGACATATTTTCTTTATAAGTCTTATGTCAAAACGTTACACAGTCCCGAACGTTACCTGTGTCACGTATTAGCTTATTGTAACCCAAGCCACACTGTTGTATACATTATATCACTCATAACAAATATGGGTTTGACATAGAAAACAAGATTAATATATTTTCACCAATCATACTTAAATTAAACTAATCACGATCATCAAAGATCGAATCAGCTCATTGACTTGAATCATGAGGACATTTTGTGTACTAGGGTAGCAAACTCCCTGCTTTTCATGAAAAAAAACACTCATCTGCAGAACAGTTAGCAACAATTTCTCAAAATTATAAGAGTGAGTGAGTGAGTGATTTAATATTTAACGTCACATCGGCAATCAAAATTATAAGAACACCCGCAAACATTTGATATATACTAGGCACATAAAGAAACTGTGCATACAAATATTTAAATATCAAACCTGTGTAGACACATAAGGATTTAAACTCAGAGATTAGTGACATATATCCAACATGCATGCACATGCCACGTTCCGTGACGTCAGTGGGTTCGTCCTTGAGACGTGCAATACCTTGTTTTCGTGCATTCCGGGAAAGAGAAACAGAGCAAATGAATGCCACACAATACTGTCACTTTGGAAAGCTCAACCCCTGCCCTTGCGATCGTTCAAAAAATTAAACTGCTATTGAAACGCATAGCATGCCAAGGCTGACGTCTGCACAATACCATGATACCATTGGGATGGTCCGTGGGGGAATGTCTCAACGACAAGTGGCTGCACATTTCCACTGCCACCGGAGCACCATTTCTTAACTGGTGAGACGCTACCAGAACACAAATGACGTCATCGATCGGCCACGTTCTGGACGTCCAAGTGTAACAACACCAAGACAGGACATATGGATAAGGGTGACCCAACTTCGCCACAGGTTTCAGACTGCAGTGATGACTGCCCGAACCATCCTAGGACTTCGCCGTATCCACCCCAACACAGTTCGACAACGATTACGTCATCACGGGATCAGACCACGACGTCCCGCCATACGGCCTATCCTGACACAACGTCATCGACAAGCTCCCCGAATGTGGTGCCCAAATCATGTCCGCAGACCCTTGTTTTGGTTGAGAAATGTTGTTTTTACAGATGAGTCCAGGTTTAACATTTCCCATAGTGATGGACGTCAACGTGCCTATAGACGCGTGGGAGAACGTTATGCACAGGCCTGTGTCTTGGAGAGGAATCGCTTTGGTGGTGGTTCCGTGATGATTTGTGGTGGAATAACAGCACGCCAAAGAACTCCTTTGGTGATTGTTCAGGGCAACTTAACTGGTGTGGGCTACAGGGATCAGATTATTCGACCTGTGGCAATTCCTTTTCTGCAACGTCATGGCCTATGGCTCTATGCGTCGTCGATGTACTGCTGTTCTCAATGCTGATGGTGGACATACCCGTTATCGAGCTTGTGACATGCTCGTTTGACCCCTGTCCCGCTTGTGGACTCGTGGCGTCATTGTGATTGACTTTTCAAATGAAATTCTCCCGACTTGTTATGGTCTCATGATCCCTCAATTAAAGTTTATATGTACCTTTGACATTGTTATCGTACTTATCAACTGGGATAATTTCTTGACAATGCACTGTTTCTTTATGTGGCTAGTATAGTTGAAGACAGCAGCGATGCAAGGACAGAACATGATGTGCCTGACCCTCCTGTTTTGGCACCACTGGCTGAATTCACACCAACTTGTGAAAAAGCAGTTGAAAAAGTTCTCATGAAGACTCTTACGAAATCATGTACCCTTGATTCCTGTCCCACGTGGCTTCTGAAACAGTGTCAAGATGCTCTTGCACCCATTCTCACTACCATCACGAATAAATCTCTAGGAGGGAACATGCTTCCACCTGTGCATCAAGAAGCATTGTTAAAGTCCCTCTTGAAAAAGCCAACGTTTGATCAACATCTTCTTTCAGACTATTGGCCTGTTTCAAATTTGGCCCTTTTCTCTAAAATAATCGAAGGAGCGATATATACAGTCATAGCACTGCAAGATCATATGTATAGACACAACCTTGGAGAAGTTCTACAGTCAGCCCCCAAGACAGGACACAGCGCGGAAACTGGTCTGTTGCTTATCCAGAATGATCTACTTCAAGCCATTGACACTAATGGAGCTGTGATTCTCTTCTCGTCCTCTTGGATCTGTCTTCAGCGTTTGATACAATGTGAAAATGTATTGGAATCTGTGCAGGAATCACGTATTGGCGTCAGTGGAGATGCCTTGCCGTAGTTATCATCATACCTTGCAGATCGGCAACAATCCGGTCCCATAAATGGAGTCTTTTTTTTACTCCTTGACCAAGTACTTTTTGCTGTATGCACTATCCCTGTTGCAGACATTGCAAGGAAACAATGTCTCAGATTCCAGCTGACACCCAAGCCATTGGTGCCACTTTCAGTGGAGGTCACTTTTGAAAGGATTAAAAAATGCATTGCAGATATCAGGCGATGAATGTCAAACAACTTTTTCAAACTAACTGATGACAAAATCCAGTTTCTTGTGATATCGTCATCCCAAATGAAGTCAATACGGAAACTAGTCACAATCGACCCAAGTCCAATTTTTTCGAAATCTGGGTGGGATTTTTTACTCAACCTCCAGCATGAACAAGCATGTGAGCAACGTTTACAAAAATGCATACTATCATATCTGGAGATTGGAAAAATGAACAAATATGGAGACAGGAATACCGTGAAGTGTCTGATCCTTTCTTTGTCCCACAGCAACAGTCCTTAGTACGAAGCACAAGATCAACACTTGAGCGAGTACAACACTGTGCAGACAGACCCATCACCGGGACCAGGGTACAGGAGCACATAACACTTGTGCTGAAAGAACTACACTGGCTTCCAGTGAGACAAAGAATAGTCTTCAAACTACTGACGTTTGTCAAGATGCTCAAAATATCATCAGTCTAAATTTCTTTTAGTAAAGGTTGAGCCATGAAGCTCCTGCCTGTGCCATTTCAATGGTTGATTGAAATTCCAATTTGTCCAGATAAAAGTTTTAATGATGGACTCTCGATCCCAAAATTCAAATGGTAATATTCGTTTAGAGGCACTCGTCATCATATTATCTTTACCACTGGTGCATTTATTATCAATGTATTACTTTTTAAGTCATGATATGGCAGAACTATTGCCGATGTGGCTATAAATCTTAACTCACTCACTTACTTTACTACTGGTGAACATTTTGACCGATTCTTCATTGGTCACCTACTCAGAGCTATATTCAGAATTCCTCTTTTGGTACACCCATGAGATGAATAGAACATAATTCAGAAATAGACCAAAGAGCAACAACGTTTTTAAACCAACCTTACCGTTAAAAGAAAAATAAATATCCTCACTGCTGCCGAATTGAGATCATTTCCTGCATTACTTTTGCTGAACAGTTGTATCATTGTATGAGTAACACAACATTGAGGTATCATAAGACAGTATGTTCTTAAAATATCATTAAACACTGCAATATATGATGTCTGAAAACAAGTGGCAATTTGGAGTAACATCGCGAAAGAAGTGTGTGAGAGCCTTGGGAAATGGTAACTCCACACATGACATTCATTTAAAAAGAATATTCAGATGGGTATTTTCTAATGATTTATTAATACTCACTTCCATAGTACTGCCATCCAGTTTCAACTGTGCCGTCACTGATCGAGCCAAAGGCTTCAGTGTATACTCTGCACTTCCTTGTGAGTGAGTTGTACAAGACTAGGTTACACAACTCCCGCCGGTGACATAGAGGGAAACATTCAGCCCTCATGTCCACCTGGTTCATCTCTTCTATCAGGCTCCTGGTGAACACCAGATCATCCATCTCAGGCCTCCTATAGAATGCCACATTTTGATAAGTGTCCGTACTATTGAGTGACTGGAATAGAGCTAATTGGAATTTGACTGTTAAAAACAAAATGTTAGCCGTTTGAAATACGATCATGGTGGTACTTGTTGAAGAGAGCATTTTTTACTGATCAAGACTAGTGTTAACCGAATGCTTTATCCAGTGAAACACATCTCCTGGCCTGTCACAGGTGGTCCTGTGAAATTAACCATATCTCTTAAAATGATAAGGGCTAACCGTTATTGTTTCTTAATTGAATCATGTGCACTTATTCCAAGTCTAAAGGCATTAAATCAAATGTACCATAAGCACTCTCTGCCTGAGAAATTGATTATTTGTAGCACACTGGCGTGTCTATATTCTACATCATGTGTGTAAGTGCACAACGTTCACAGCAACAGTCCACAGTCCATACACATGTCTTGTAGGAGCAACGTCTTGTAATAGAGTGTGCATATATAAAAGAGCCCATTAGTAGCACTTTATCCTGAGTGAAATACCTTCCTTCTACAATCAAGCTATTAGCAAAAAGCCAAAGCAGCATACCGTCGAATGATTCAATGTTTATGTATCTCAAAGCAACATATTCCCATTACCATTAAGACCCTTAACTTCTGCCTGATGCAAATGTGTAACTCTTGAACATACTTGACAGCTGTTGTTTCTGTACACAAGATTATAACTATTGCCGCCTTCGATCCATATGTTATTGAGTACGCTCGCCACGAGAATCGTACCTGCAGCAGAGCGTATCTATTCCATAGTTCTTGTTACTGTTTAACAATCAAACAAGCATGTATTCTAATCCTCGTTTACTTCTCTAGGTAAACTAACAGTGTCTTTACAAATGCGTGCTACGTACTGTATATATAGAAAATATCACATAAGTACCTACTGATATCAATTATAGTGGAAACCCTCTAAACCAGCAGCCCTCCAAT